CATCTTGTTAAAAAGGGTGTTAATTATTTCTTTGGGTGAAATTCCCAAAGTGGTGTAGTTGGGAGTCTAGCAGCTGCCACATATAATCCATGTGCAAGGAAATTACTTAAAGAACAATTCTCACATGCCACCATCAAAGTTACACATTTTTAAGTCAAAATTAAAAAGCTTCAGTTGAGCACAGCACCTGGTTTAGCTTGCCTTAGCAAGCATGCAAGATATGAATACTTCACAGCAATGTATGTAGAGGGTAATGTATTAAGCCATTGTCTCTTGAAAAAAAATATACATATGCATAGGCTGAGTCAGATCAGGTTCCTTGGAGATTCATGCTGCTATGTCTGGTGCTTTGATTGGTCCCTACGGTGTAAATGTAGAGAGGGAAGATTACAGTGATGCAAGGGTTTGTCTTCAATCCAGCTCTCTCAGGAGTGAGAATGATCCTTAATGGATGTCACTACGGGGTTATTTCTGACCATCATCTCCTGTCAGTAATGATCCCTCTTGTTGTCCTCCTTCAGTCTTAACACTTAGACTGATGAACTCCTCTGATCCTCTGTATGCCACTGCTGAGATCGGGGTGTATTTCTGCTGGCCTGCTCCCTTGCCTCCGCACCATCACACAAGTCCCATACATCCGCCGTTAACATATGGCCAAATCTGTCTGATTAGCCCTTGCAGCTATTCAAACCACCAAACCAGATGTTCGCACTGGCATGACTTCATTTAAATGATGCTCCTCCAGGTTTATGACGATCTTGGTACAGAAGTGCCTCCCTGTGGAAGGAGTGAGAACTGCAGTCTTGTACATCACATTTGCACTGATGGATTTGATTAAAACTGCCCAGTCATTTCAAGGGAAATCGCTACTCAATTCAAAAAGAAAATAAACACAGACATAGCCAAAACTCATTGTTCTTAACTTTTCACATGCATAACAGACATTGCCACAAGTACCACAAGTCCAACACTATGACAACATGATATTACTAGTAGCTAAGCAAAGTTAAATGTGCTCTGTAAATGTGCTGGTAAGATTAAACTAATCTTCTTTTCAAGCAGATATTTGTCAATATATCATGTTGATATATATGTAAGGTGTGCAGCAGACTAGAACTGCTATGTCCCTCATTTACCTACAGCTGATCAGCTGACATGGTTGGCCCTACCACTAGAGGGCTCCACATGCCGAAGATGCTAAAAGCTAGACATGGCCATCAGCTGTCAGAAAGTACTCGCTTAGTTCTCGTCAACTTTAAATTACATTCAGCAAGGCTCTCCCAGAGATCAGGGCATAATTAACTATGCAGTCATGCGTTGCAGTAAGATTGGCCTCTGAGAGTCAAACCATCACTGTTTGAAGTCTAATGCTCTGCCTCACTAACATTAACTCTAAGCCACTGAAGCCTCGATGGTAACAGCTGTTGACAGAAAAGTCCATCAATTTGCACATGCCAGTTTTCAAGACAAAATATATATAACTGCAGTATTTAAAAGCATGACATAGCACGTTTGATTGAATTCAAACTATTAAACCCCCAACAGTCTAAGATGAATATGTGTTCAACATCCATACTGACACATACGTATTCATGATAAATTACAATGTCAATGTATATAACTCATTGAAAAAAAAGATGTTTATGTTAAGTTGTATTTTTGTCATATGCGTGCAATATGTTAATTTAATCATACAGCTGAAAAATGTATTTTACACACCCATACTTTTCATATGAACGCATTACATTTGCTGTCATGGAGATAGCAGGCATGCATTCACACGTATAGATAGATTGATGCAGATATGAATTCCCTTGTTTTGTAACCATGGCTTGTGCATCATTCTGTTCTTATTACACTTTTTGAGACCTGCACAAACCCTCAGGGAAGGAAAGATTGCAAAATTATGCCTTGGTATGTCTTCATCTGTCAACGATATATATCGCAATAACAAGCATAATGCGTTTCTATCCGGCAACAGAAAAAATGCAACGTTCATAGGAAGTCAAGCAGAGGTTTAATTCAGAAAGATGCGACTGCTTGCATGAACCTTAATGCATATATACATCTGTATTATCAAACACGCGCCATTTATAAAACTGCTTGTCTCACAGGACCACCTGTACGTGCATGCGTGCATGCCTGCATGTGTGTGTGTGTGTGTGTGTGTGTGTGTGTAAATAGATAGGACAGAGTGCAGCAGCAATCAAACCTGAGCCTCCTCGCTGGGTCTCTCCTAGGTCACCTACAACGTGTTAGGAGCTCCGCAGAGCAACAGGGGCAGCAGAGGGACAGCGAAGACGAAGAGGAAGAGATGTCCATATCACTTACCATAGTAATACTGGAGTAATCAGTTCCCACATTCACAGAATGGCTGAAAAAAAAGAGGAAGTTGCAATTGCCTAAGTGAGAAAGGAATCAATCTGGAGGGGATATCGATTTCCTCACTGGCAAAGCAGACAGCAGGGCCAGCGAGGCAGCTTTCCACCAACGGAAGAAAGATGCACTTGTGAAAAAAAAAAAAGTTTGTTGAATTGCATAAGCACCTCAACCAGAAATCTGTAACATCAAGGGAAGCAGGGGGCCAAACACAGAGTAATATCTGTAATTTGTATCTGTAAATTCAACTCAATATCATAATCATTAATTCACAAACCCATAAAGTGATGTGCCCCGCCTGCATTCCTTTGGATCTTAAATACACTTTTATTACAGGATCTTCATGTTACTGTGCAGCAGAGTTTCATTTGCGTGAAGCATTTAATGTTGCATGGTATGGAAATATGGTCCTCTGGTAAATGCACCCCACAATAACCAACCTCATTGCTTTTCCATTATGTTGCAAAACTATGGGATGTTTGCATAGTGCAATGCATTGTGGCTGTCACTGTCGTGGTTCCGAGTTGAATCTTTTAGTCTACTCAGAGCCCTGCTTTAGCTACTGAATTTGTGCACAGTTCTTCTCTCATGTTTGGGTGGCTTGCCTTAACACCACGTCTGCAGGTCATCCGTCACCTTAATGTTTTGCACACTTTGAAGCTACTCTCTTCCTAGAACCCATAATTTTGCATTAAAAGAGGTAATTTGCTGGGGACAAGAGCGGCCTAATTTCATCCTGAAGAGTTCCCCTCATTGTCCCTGGCTGCCTTTGATAGCGTGTGTCTATCAGATTGGTCCATCAGGGAGTTCCACACATCCATTATCAGGTCGTCTGTGGAGGGATTGTGTGGCTGTCCACAAAGCTGGAGTAAAGGAGGTAAAAGGTTCTGATGCTTATGGAATCTATCCACCTTATTCCTGGGGGGGCTACAGTACGATTATGGGTGGAACTTCCGGTGAAGCAGCGGAAGTAGCCATAAGCGACAACAAAAGGTTCTGATGCTTCCAGAATCCATAACAACAAAAGGTCCTGATGCTATAAATAAATGGCTATAAAGACAATAATTTCAACACCACATAGACCTATATGGAATGCATATATGCATCCCATTGCAAAACTATTTGCAACAAAACTATTTGCTTTCTATAGTAAATAGTATTGTTGTTATAGGTCCTGGTGCTTATGGAATCTATAACAGCAAAACTATTTGCTATAGAGGAAATGCTTCACAAAAAAAAAAAAGAGCATCCCCCAACAAAATCTCACCTGAGAAATCTGACAACTGTTGAGCATTTTTTTCAGTGACTGTAGAACAACATCGTTCTGGACAATCACAAGCTTGCAATGCTGTTGTATTTTGCAATTTCTTACACTCACATGCAGTTTTTTTTCCTATTAAATCCTATTAAGTATTTCAGTTATTGATCAACAAGACTTCCTCTGTTTTACTTTGTGTTATGGCATGCTGGGACATCTACTTGTTTTTACCTCATATGACATTCTTCCCCCTACCTCTCATACGCCCAAATTGATGTGTCACTCAGATTTTCAGCAGCGCCAAGATAGTGTTTTTAAACATTTAAAGCTTTTACCATTTTACCAGCTCTGACATCTTATTATTGAGGTTACACAACACAGAAATGGTTCATTGAAACCCCTGCCCACAAGCCTGAAATAATCTCACACCTACATCAATAGTTAGGAGGTAAGTGCAAGGCCAGATTTCACAATCCAATAGGGTCACCACAGGTCATAAGTACCACAGGCTGATCTAGCTGATGGCTGCAAAGTATACTTTTTTCTGGTTTCTATTTGATTTGTTTTTTTTTTTTTTTGACATGTAAAGAGATGTGGAAGAGCTGTGTGTGTTAAATTCAGTTTTTTTCTTCAGGACTTCTTTGTTCTTATCTCACTAAGCATACCTCAGGGTCTGTACTCTCAAGTCTGAAAAGCCACTGTTTCAAATGAACCACAGAACAGGCTTTCATTAGGTTGAAAGGAAATGCATTTTCAGCTCAGTGCAAATGTGTGGTGAAGGATTCTTCTGTTTTGCAATGTTGGAAAGACGCAGTCCCGGAAGAGGCACAGCATCTCAATTGCTCGCTTACTCACGCAGTCACTCACTGACTCGCTCACTGACTCACTCACTCACTCACTCACTCACTTACTCACTCACTTGCTCACTCATGCACTTGCTCATGCACTCACTCATTGACTGACTCACTCACTAACTCCCTCACTGACTTACTAACTCACTGACTTGCTCACTCACTCACCTGCTAAGTCACTGCACCTGTCACAGAGTGAACACTACCAAACTCCTGTGGAATATCATGTACTCAAAGAGAATGGTTTCTATATGTATTAAGAATAACATGGATAAATCCATTCACCAAAACAGGAGTCAACAAACAACTTGAATACACTCAGCTAGGTGTCTGACAGGCATCAGTTTTTAATGTCTCATAAACTCAACTCCAGCTTTTTCCTCCTGAGACAGCTATGAGAGGAAAAATACAAACACAATACATTTTGAACATTCTTCCTCTGGCATAATACACTGAGCAGCTACTGCACTTTGCTGTTTGCAGAAAAATAATACAGATCAATTTTTATGAGGGCAGCAGTGCAGCATAGTGGTAAGGAGCAGGGCTCATAACCAAAAGGTTTATGGTTCAATTCCCTGCTGATGCA